GCCTGGGCATTTTCTCTTACTGGTAACAAACCATTTGCATCATTCTTCTGTATGTTTTTGTGTGAACTGTGGTTGCCAATGCTTATGGCTGGATAAAACGTTAACAGGGCCAAAACAGCACACACACTGTTTTGAACCTGACTGTGACAGAGGGCAGAGAGTGTTTCCTTGCAATAGATTTTACTTGTGTAAATTGAAGTTTTGGAACAATTACAAGAAATTTTAATTTTCTGGCCAGGCAGTGGCTCCATCTTGTCATGCCCAAGAGAGTAATATTTGAAGATAGGTGGAGGCTGCCAATAACACTGGAAAGAAATATTTAAAGTGGGTAATTCTGATGGTGTGTTGAGTTGTTGTTGCATCATAGGAAATTCTCAAGTGAGTGGGAAAGGCTTGAACCTGTCCAGAAACCTGTCCAGAAACATACCAGAAACAAACTGGTATGTTGGGATGTGTCCTGAAACCATGATCACTCTAAGATGAGGGTCTTGCCTAAGGATTGGAAGCTGTTGAGGTTTTGGGGGAAAACAAGGAGGAAATCCTGGTCCTGAATACATGTGTATCTATTGCTTGAAAATGTTTTTTCAGTCTTCAGACTGAATTAGGTAAATTAATTCCTTGTTTTCCCATAATATTAATCTAGTGCTAAGAGTGATTTTCAGGGAAGGTGACAACATAGGATTTCATACCCAAGAGAGTGGTGAAGCATAGGTAGAAAAATTAGTCTAGTTTCAGGCTGCCCACCACTCTTGTACAAAGTCAAGGGTATTTCAGAGTGAGAATTTTTTCTCTAACAACCAGAACAGGTCAGTATGGAAGCCAATAGTGTGTAGCATCACTTCTGAAGAGACATTTTCCAGTGACAAATATGAACTAGACTCTATGACATTTAGCAAAACAGTGAGAACTGTTCCTGACCTCTGAAATTCCTTCCTACTAGTTTGTAGATTAAAGCCATCAAAATGTGCTGTAGTCAATAAACTCAATGGCTTATTCATAGCAACATTAAGAAATTCTCTTGAGCCTGCAAAATTTTGAAAATCTAAATATGTTTTGTCAGTAATTATAGTCATATTTCATTTTAGTAACTGTTATAACTGACCTGTTAAAATATGTATGTACACAGTTACTTAGTATGGGTGATAAAATTTTACTAAAGCCTAGGGTTTGCTGATATAAGTAAAATCTAATTTTTGATACTTAGTCTTAAAAATAACTGTGTAAAATATATTTTCAGAATATTACTGTCTTACACTACCAAAAGTGGATGAGGTGCCTTCCAGAGTAGACGGAATTTTTTTCCCAGAGAATTTATGAGATCATGTCACAGTGGATTATTAATGTGATGTGCAGATGAAAGTTGCAGTATAGATAATCTCCCATATCACATGTACACCTCGGTACATTAGCTGAAGGAAACTTGTACTCCTTTGGTAGTTCTTGTGGGCCTCAAGGACTCATTCTTGAAGTTTTACTAAAGATAGAGATGCTGCTAGTATGTTACACAGATATGCACATCTAAAGCTGGATCTTGCACTATTTCTCATGCTCTTCTAATGGTGTAACAATATGTTGGACTGAAGGTACTGGATAAACAAGGTATCTCTATCAGAGCTTCATATTACTCAGCTGCAAACTGCAGTCTTGTGAGACTGGAAAACTCGCTGTCAAGATTGCAGTTCAGTTAATGTAAATTCAGGGAGGCAGTTTTTTCACTGATTGTTTTGATTCTGTCGACCTTTGCTGTAATCAGTGTCTCTAATGTAGGGAACAGTCCTTTCCAAAGACAGAGACTGGGTATACTGGTGTGATCCTATGGAGAATACGGCAATGCTTAGCAGACGTGTCAGATTCCTCATATGTGTGCATATGCTTTGCGCTTTCTTTGAGCAGCATTAGTATTGTAAGCGTGCACGGTAGCCCCATCATGACACATTTTTCGCTTTGCAAAGGGAGTGCCTCAGGCTGTTCCTACGAGACACAAAATCTGTGTTAGTTTTAAAGCATCTTTTTGAACACTAGCAAAGCTCACATGGAATTCTCAGCACCAAGTTCCTATCACTCAAGAGCTGTCGGGGGGGGACTGGCTCTTCAGCTGGAAGCAATTTAAACAAGCAAACAGGAGGTGTGTGCCCAGACCTCGTAGAAACTTTATTTATATTTTTAAATGACAGCTATTTCTCTTTTTCTAAGGGCAAGTTCAGAAGTGAGCCAGCCCCCCCCCCTCGGCCCACCCCGTCATGAATGCATTCTCAGGGGTCTCCAGCAGGGCCTGGGAAGTTCTCTCAGGCTGCTGGTGGACTCCTGTGGGGCTTCGGGCACTATGGGCCAAGCTCAGCTGGAGTGCAAGGAAAAGCATCCCACTGCGATCAAAGAAGCAGTGTCTACTTACAGCCTGGCTCGAGGTGGCCCACCAGCTAGGAGCCCCAGAGGGCAGACTGGCTTGCCCAGAGCTGCCTCCTTTGCAGTGCAGAGAGGTGTCTGAAAAGGGACTGCCTCTGCTGTAGCTTTGAAAATGGGATTTTTATCCTCATAAATCTTTATTCTGCATTGTCTGTTATGGAGGATCTCAACTACATTAGTGACAATGGGCATAATGTAAATTGCTAAAAGGAGGAGACCTGTGCAGAGTACTCCTTCTCCCCTTCTATCCCTGTTTCCCCCCGCCTGGAGCACGGAAAAATATTGGAAAGCATTTGTGCCTCCTGGGAGAAGCACGTGGATGCGCCAGCCACCCCAAAATACCACACATTTCTGTGGGCTTTCAGAGCCCTGCACGTCCTGTAAATACAGGCAGGCCACTGAGAGGTCTGCGCGCTGCTGTGTGCACAGGCTGAGAGGCAGGTGGGAGAAGGCCTGCTCCCCACCCAGCAGCGACGGGCTCGGGGGGTTTTCCATCCTTCGGGGAGAGGAACGGGCGTGACAGCTGCATTTTTTCTTTCATTCAGAGCCTGTTATTCTTGCATTTTAAATTGTTTTCTTCACAATTAAGGCAAAACAAAGCTCTGATGAAATGTCAGAGTACCCCTGCAAAAAACTCAGTTTCATCAAATAGCCCCAACCCTGCTTGTGCTGGTGGAGATCACTCTTATTTAGCAATATAAAGCTGAACATTGTTTTTGCAATAGAGATACAACAGTGAAAGATAGGAGGCAAAGCTCGGTGGGGGCCCAAAATGAAGTGCCCTGGGCTGCAGTTTGGCTAACATCATATACTTCTGGATGTGTGAGATGCTTAGGATGGTGTGTGAGCCCATGTCCTACTGGTGTCCAGAGACCTTGTTTGGAGGCTTGGTAGACACCATGAATCTCCAAAAGGTGTGAAAAACAACAGGATGTTTTGTTGGTGACACAGGCATGAAGGAGACCAAAAGGGAGGATCTTGCCACCCTTAGCTGTAGAGCTATGCCACAGATTTCCACATTTCAATTTGGTTGTTGACTTGGTGGACAGATCTTCTCATTATGCCTGTGGCACATGAAAGTATTTTACAGGCTGCGATGCAGCACAGTATTTGCCAGGTGTATGCAATGTGCAAGACCTGATGGTATGTACGTCTTGTTTGTCTGAAACACAGGATGTGAAAAAACCTTCAAAAAGTCTCACAGATTATTTGGAGGGCCTAATAATAATTTCCTTTACTCTCAGAAATTCTAGATTTCCTCCTCCTGGGTCATTTTCATTATCCATATGTCATTAGCTTTGGGAAGAGGGGGTGGGAGCCATTTGAGGTGCCAGGATTAACCAGGGAGGGTAAGTGCAAGGTGAACTGAGTGGTACTTGCAGAAAGTGTTGGCCATGGCCATGTGGGTGGAGATGGTCTATGCTGACTGGGAGCCTTCTCCAGCCCATCCCACACTGATGAGACCTGGGAGAGTGGAAATCCTTCCCTTATGGATTAGGCTTTTTCATTCCCAGCTCCATCTCTGACAAAACAGATGGAAAAATATTCAGATCCTGATCCTAAAAAGATGAGTGACTTCTGCTGTGCCTTCTGCTTACATGGAGGGGCTCAAGCAATCCACTTTTGTATACGTTTTAAACATCCTTCTTTCTTTGAGATTTTTGCCTTGCTGTATTTTCTGACTTTCTAGTTTTGGATAAGAAGTCGTGAAGAAATCAAAGGAGAGTTGCCAGAAATGCCCGACACGTTTATATACAGAGTGTCTTCAGACCAGACCCTTCTGAATAACTGGTAAATAGAGTGGGTTTCCTACTGAACAGTCCTGCATTCATACTGATATTTCAGTCCAGGCTTTGTATAAATATACATCCAACAGAGGCTTTTCTAACAAATTATGTTTATTTACAAATGAGAAACCTGTCTCAAGAACTGATTTCCACTGTGACTAGCTGAAAGCCTATTAAATAGTGCAATAATGGCCTTTAAATTACAGTATGCGTTGAGGCATACCTGCTAATAATGTGGATTTTCTGTGGATTGAAATGTCTCTTTCTAACAGGTTTGTGCTGTGCCCATGTCCTTGCCTGTCTCAAGCAGCAGGCTCTGGGGGGTGTTCTGAAAGCTTCATTAAAAAATGCTTTATGAAAACCCTCTGATCTCAGCATCAGGCAGGAGAGACCATATCTGTATAACCTTGCCATTTGTTACAGAGCAGGAGGTGAACACCTCTCCCTAATGTCCACTCCTTTTAATGCTTTAAATAGCTCTCCTTGACACATGGCAATGAAAATGGCTTACTGACAAGTTTCTCTTAGCCCTGTGGCTATAAAGTCTGCTCTCTAAAGAAAAATAGATGTGGAAACCATTTGGCTTAAATGCCCTTAAGCAAGTGAATAAAATTAATCATCTGTCTTTTAACTCTGATTCATTTTTCCTTTAATTCAATTTACAAAAATGTGCAGGCAGAGTCTGAGCCTCTGGGTATATTAACATTAATAAAACACGATTAAGCAAATGTTATTATGTTTCCAGCAACAAAAGGAATGCCCCTGAGTATACAGCTTCCCCTTGCCATAATAAGTATTCAGACACAAGAACTGTGTCTGCAACCTGTTTCTTAAGCTGTCTTAAAAAAACAAAATACCCACTTTGGTTAATACAAAGAAGCTAGAAGGAACAGGCTGAAAGTTAACACCCCAAAACATAGTCAACTGAAGAGGAGAAATGAGAGGTACAGGTAGGAAAGTTTTGCCTTCTGTACTCAAATTTAAAGGTTCGGACTTGATTAGTGTGAGTTGCAGAGCATTTGACTAAGACCTTTGAGAATGATCACATTTTCTTGTTGCTTCTAGAGTGTGCCACAGTCAAAACACCACTTCCAGCAAGAAGAACAGAGGAATAAAAACTAATAAGGTAAGAAATCAGTCACATTAATAATCAGAAGGAAAACTCATGAGAAATAAAAATTCTAGTGGATTTTTTGGGGTGAAAACTGACTACCTAATGTGACCAAAAATATATATATTCATGTATTCTGCATGCTTTGGAAGAACCCCAATAAATTAGAATATATATAAGAAAGTTAATTTCTCATGTGATAAGGCAGACTGTGCAGCTGCAAAGTAGCTATGCACATGTTGTGTACAAGCTAGAAGGGCCCTGATTTACCAAACTCAGCAGTGAAGTCCATTCATAATTATACTAATAACAAGACTTTACATAGTGATACCCCTCTTCAAAGCACTGAATTAACTGTTGTCAGATAATTGCTAAAAATACCAAAAAAATGCAAACATCTGGTCAACAGCATTAAAACTGCTACTTTGGCATTTCATTCTGATTTTTGAAGTGTGTATTTTAAAAGACTGGATTTCGCAGCTTGTGTAGTGCAGGGAATATTTTCCCAGTGTTTTGACCTCAGGTACTGAGGTTATCTATTATTTATTCCTTTCTTGGACTCTTTTCCTCATTGCTTGTAGCTCTGCCAAGTTAGGATAAATGTTTATGTTAATCCACTGGATGACTCTGAGTCCTTTTATTGTTTCATCAAAAAAAGGTAATTCATTGTTCCTGAGAAGGGACTAGGGACTTTGTTTTGCCAGCATGCAATCCCTAAAGACATTCAATTGTAATTTTTTAATGAGTTAGCCCTTTGGGGAAAACAAAATTAATTTGAGAGATGATGCATTTTCCCTTATGATCAACGAGGGCCAAGTTTTAGGGCTTTTGAGTGCTCCTGCCCACAACCGTTACTGTTGAGGGCAACCAAGGACTGTCATGGTCTCCTGGTGCTTTGTGTTGGGCTGAGGTGGGAGGGACATGTCCCATCTGGACCCCAGAGGTCCAACTGCAAAGAAGCGGTGCCCGTTATCCGGAGGATCAACTGGCCAGAGCGGGTGTAAAAACATCCATAATGCTGCTGGTTCTGGCACGTTTCATTGCCTAACCAGGTGGGGCTGCAGGGCTGGAGGTGAGAGCCCACCCAGGGGCTTGTTGTCTCCAGCCCCACATTTGCCCTTCACTGGGGTGAAATGGGCTCTTGGCACAAGGGGAGGGTCAGCTCTGCATGGGCACCTCTGACCATTGTTAGCTCCTGGTGTTCTTCTGATGCAGTTTTCTGTAGAAAGGCCAGAGGTGGTGATTGATCAGTGACATGAGCAGTATCAACAACAAAAGAGAGGTGAACCCAGAAGAGGACAGGAAAGGATAGGAGAAAGCTCATCTGGGTCCTGCAATGCCTGGAGAAATGATGGCCACAGACCTTGAGCTGTCACTGCTGACTTGGATTGGGAGGGTGTGTTTATTCATGGGAGGGTGTGTTTATTCAATATGCAAGGCAAGAGGGAGTATAAGGAGTTGGAGAAATAATCCAAAAGAAATAGGAAGCAATTCAGGAAATATGTATGAGCTATATAAGGAAAGGCTGAGAAAATGTGGAGTTATTTACTCAACAGAAGACTGACACATGATAGCTATTTTCAAGTACGTCAGAAATTGCTAAAAAAGTGTGTATTGTTCTTTATGTCTGCTCTATTACAGTAAGCAGGATTAGAGCAAGGGAGGTTTAGGTTAGAGATTCCTTAATGTTTTCCAATTGTTGGGAGAGCCGGACAACAATGCCAAAGGAGGTTGTCTACTGTCTGGGTTTGGAGGTTTTGGGGAAACGGATAAAAGTGTTATTGATCAGGAGTGGTTTATATATAATTTATCCTGACTTGGTGCTCAGGGATGGACTAAATGGCTTCTCCATCCCTACTTACTGAGATTTCTACCTTGTATAAACTCCAGTGTAGGTCTAACCTAGCTAGAATGTTTTTGCCATTAAGTAAAACAAAAGGCTTACAGATGTGAATGGTAAATTACATACTGCAAATTAAAGCTTTAAGTAATTATGCATGGCTTTTTCACATTGTATTTATACTTTATGAATGTTATTTTACTTCACTGTGTATAAATAACAAGTTGAGAATTGCTGTCCTTAATTGAAACCATCTCTACTTTTCTATGAGAGAGATTAACATTTTTAACAGACTCTTTGTGATCCACTGGGGGTTATTGAAGGATTTTTTTTGCGTTGTTGCTAGGCAGCTCCCTCCATGCCAGCAGACAGACACTGCTGAGTATGTCATGGCTAATTAAAAAAATCTCTATATTTTGAGTATACAGCAGCCCAAGTTTTAAAAGCTTGCTGATCGGAATAAGGACAATTTAATTGGTATAAGGACTGATGAGACAAAATAATAGCAATTGTGCAGTGTACTAAAATAATTTGTTGTTTACAGCCCCCTGGATCTACTGGGTGAATGAAGTGGCAAATATCTAAATATTATTTATTTGTGAGAAAAGAGAATTGAGCTGAACTATTCTGAAATTGATGTTGTCCAGGCAATTTTGAAGAATCAAGTATCACATTCAAATATAAGAATAATAAATATAAGAATATTTAGCATGGAAGAATCAGGAATTTTTAAAGGGGTGTAGATTGTTTAATTTCTACAATGCTGTTTGTGGTTAAAAAGCTGTTTGAAGTTATTACCAACTCCACAATGGCCATTTTTTTAGAAGGTTAGCCAACTGACTAGGTAAAAATGCCTCTGCAGAATGAACTGAGGAGCTTTTATAACAAGATAGATTACTGCTAGGTGCTAAGCAAGAGCAGAGGTGGCAGCTCTGCCTGGACAGTCCCTGGGCAGTGAGGTCTGGTGTGCTGCTGGTCACCCGCAGCTACTGCACTCCACAGCACTGGAAACCATCTTGTGCAGGGAGTGGAAGCTGCCTGATTCAGTAGATTTACAGCATTAGGTAGCTTTACTTCTGGTGACGTACACAGGGTATCAGTGTATACAGTTAGCAAATATTGGAGACGAGTCTTTGTATGAGTTAAATGTGCAAAGGATCAGTTACGGTTGCTCTGACCTCTGTTCACCCTCTAGAGAGCATCAAAAACTTATCATTTCTGCAAAAAGGAAAATACAAGCCAAAGGATAAATCTTCATTTAATCTCTTAGGAAGTTACCATTAAAAAAAATATTGAATGGCAGGATGAAGTACAGGGTTTATAGAAGCTGAGGACACCTGATACACATACAGAGATTCATCAGAGGGAATAGATTTAAGAGGTGCTTGGGTTTTCTTTTTCTTTGAAGGGATTGCTTTTAATCTGGATCTAGTTCAGGGAAATGAACAGACTGAAAGAAGCTTTAAACTGCTTCTGCAGCTAGGCAAAGATTAGATTTGTAGGGATCTTTGTTGAAACTTCTGAACTTTTTACAGATGTCTTTTACATAAGGTAGGTGAATAGTCTTACAGGGAAGCTTTGAACTGACAACAAAAGCTGTCACCCTCTTTTCTTCCTCAAAACCTTATTTTACCAGTTTGTTTTAGTTTGCCCTTTCCCTCCTCCCTAAGGATACTGTATTCCTTTCACCTGCTCATGTAAAACACAGTTTTGAAGGAGGGACTGGGGCTTATCCCAATGGCATGGCAGTTGGTCTCTGTGCCTGGCACTTCTTCCAGGGTTGCAAGTCTGGGATGGTGACCCTTTTCTCCTTGACAAAGGTAAATTTTTTTACTGTTGCATCTGCTACTGGCCTCTGAGAGAAGAAACTTTCATTCAACCTCTATTAAAACAGGAAATCTGTGCTGAAACAGAGATCTTGTTGGTTTCTCTGGGATCTCTGATGCCTTTTAAAAATAGGATTCATGTGAACTGTGTTTGTAGAGAAGTGGTACATCCAGTCCCAAGCCTAGACTGGCCATGACAGACATGAGGACAACCTGCGCAGTGGCTGACACAGGGAAGCTGAATGTGGTGAAGCTCATGATGAAGCCAAAACACAGCACTCATCTAGCTACTAAGAATAAAAATTAGCTCTATCCCAGCTGAAACCAGGACACTGAGAAATAGAAATAGCCATAACCAGTGAAGCAAAGGATTCATGTGTCTTTTAGCTAAAAAAATTAGTATATCCTTGCTTGATCAGTGGCGTTTTGGAAGAATGGTGTGTATCAGGGTGCTGTCGATGAGGAGCCTCCTCTCTCACCCCAGCACCACTACAAACACAGCGTAGTGTGTGGTGGGGCTCGTGCAACCCAGGGTGGAAGCATTTACCCCAGGAGCCCACTGAATAACTTAGAAGCCACTGGATTCTGTAGGGGTGTTATTATATTTATAGGGCTTGAGGGATGCTCTGCAGACATGTTCAGGATTTAATATAAAATGCCTGTGGTGACTATAGCCCCCTGGTACCCCTCCACTCCGTTTGCAAACTGCGGTAGCAATGCAGGAACTGGCAACACTGGGGATGGGGCCAAAGGTGGAGTTTGTTCAGAAAGCCTGGTCTCTGCTAGGGGGATGTTTAGTCTTTTTTTGGTGCCACACAGCACCTCACCAAATATCTGTGGTGGGGAAAGGAAGGGCAGATGGAGTGCAAAAGTTTTCTGGAAAAGAGCTGTGATGGTTCAGGATTCTGTATGTCTGTTGGATTGTCAGAAAGGCTGAGCATATACAGCTCCTGTTGCCATGAAGAGACTGTATTTATATTTACTATTTTTAACATCTGAGGAAAAAACATTCGTACAATGGCATATTCTATTTTATGTGTTCCTACAAACATACTTTATCTACCTCCACCAACATAGGTAATCTGCTTTGTGTTTGTTATTTATTCATTTGAATTATACTTAAAATGGCATGTATTGTTGCTTTCCAGTCTCCTCCTTTACTCCTCAAATACTTCTTCTTTCTCCCCTTGTTCCTATGGAAAAAAGCAGAACAACCCCATTTTGTGCCAGGGTTATTGATTCTGTATTCCTGCAAAACTCCTTTCTCAGCGATGAGGCTGAGACCTAGGAGTTGGAGGACAGTTTCTTGACATGCAGGTGCTCAGGCACTGGGGATTTTTCATGCAGAA